AATACGAATACTAATACTAATATTAATACTAATACTAATACTAATACTAATACTGATACTAATACTAATACTAATACTAATACTAATACTATCACCATTCCTGAGCCCCCCTCAAACAATTCTTGATTCAGAGTCCTAAAATTGTTTGGGGGGGGGGGGGGTCGTACGCACTAAAGCGGGTCCAACATTAAGGTTTACAGCTTAGTGTGGCGCTGCCCAGTTTCACAACGCTAGCATGTGAACATCGGCAAATGCTGACATGCACAAGCTTCACGGAGAACGATTCCTGAAGGACTGCCTTTTCTTTACATCTAGCCGCAAAGCTTAAACTCGAAACCCTTGAGCCCCCGATGAAAAGTAGTCTTAATCCCAAGACATGTTTCTCGTAAGTTTTAGGGCGTAGGGCCTAGAATATCCTCTAGATCATCACCAACAGGGACCCATCATGAAACCCCAAACCTAAACAGGTACTGCAAGCCACATCCCAAACCCTTACAGTATCCCTGAACCTCCCCAAACCCTAAACCCTAATCCCTGAACCCTATGAAGACTCTCATCCCTAAACTACCCTAGACTCTGCCTATCCCTTGAAAGCCCCCCAAGGGATGGATAATAGCATTCTGGCTGTCAGAAATGCCAAGACTAAAATCGAAACCCCCTAAACCCCTAGAACCCAAACCTTACGCAACATCCAAATTTCCCAGCCTTAAAATCCCAAAGCCTATAACCCTAAACCCTAAACCCTAAACCCCTAAACCCTAAACCCTAAAAGTCATTGCCCTACGTGGTGCTCGAAGTTTTGGGGCGCTGTGTGGTTTTTCAGGGTGGATCCTAAGGGGGTCTGGGGGGTCCTGGGCCTCCTCTGCCAACGAATTTCGGGAGCAGGAAACAAACAAAAACCCACAGGCCAGGCCTCCCAGGCGCCTCCCAGGTCAGGCCTTTCTCAGGCACCTCCAAACAGGGAGGCGCCTCCAGGGGCCTGCCAGTACCCTCCCCAACAAGCCTTTCACGGGCCACCTTGCAATTTTTCAGCAGACCACCCAACGGCGCTCCAGGCTCACTAGCAATTAAGAGGTGTTGTTGTTGACCAAGATGGACCTAATTGAGTTTAGGTCCTAAACCCTAAAAGGAGTAGGTTTGGGTGGTTTGGCCGCCTCTGACGGCGTGGGGTGGGTGATTATGTTACATGGCCTTCTACACTCAGGCCATGGCAGCACTTCGCATGCAGCCATGCACTTCAAGAATCATTGACATCTGCTCATCACATCCTGCACGGCAACAACCCTAAACCCTAAGCCCTAAACCCTAAAATAGAACCCAGGTGCAGGAACGAGATGGCGAGGCACACACCTACGATCTCACTGGCATGGCAATGAAAATGAGGTTTTAGGGTGGGGGCTTAGGGTTTAGGATTTAGGGACTTGGGTCTAGGGTTTAGGGTTTAGGCCTCCAAGGACCCAAATAACAGGTTCCCTTTAAAGGGGGGGGGGGTGTAGGGGGGATATATAGGGATATATTAGGGGACTAGATAAGGGTCCAAGGACCTAAAAAATAGGGCTTCATCTTGCAAAAGAACACCAGAACTACCCTGTCTCACACAGGGCTTGGGGTTCAGGATTTAGAGGCTTAGAGTCCAGGAGTGTCATTTTGTTGTGCAGGGTTTTGGGCGAGCTTTAGCGTTGCGGGGTTCAGGTTTGGGATTGAAGGTTGCTGGTCAAGGGGAGCCTGTTCGCCAAACTGTTAGCTTCTGCTTGGGGCCCTGCAACTTTTAGGGTCTAATTGGGGGTCCGCATGATGAGGACATACTGTTTCGGGGCATCTAAGAAAGGAAAATGCCTCATTGTACAGGACCCCGCTTGAGAACATACCACGGACAAACCTTGTTCCAATGTTCCCTAAACTTTAAGCTCGAAACCCTGAAGCCGCAACCCTAACACCTAATTAAAATGGTAGTTTCCCTAAATAGGGGGACCCCAATATAGACTTCAAAATACTATGATCCTTATTATAGGGACCCCCGAAAAGGTACCCCTAATTTTGGGAAACCCCCAAATCTTACCCACTGACCTGGCCTGGCACCGCTAGGAACATCACCAGGATGTAGATGAGCGGCACCAGGCGCCAGTAGGAGGCATAGAAGCCAAGCAGGCAGGCTGCCTTGAGAGGCACCTTGCGCATGATTGGCACCGGGAACCAAATCAGGATACCAACGATGTTGAAGAAGAGATGGACAAAGGCGATCTGCAAGCTGTCCGGCTTCATGACGGCCAAGGCAGCAAGCATGGACGTGAAGGTAGTCCCGATATTAGCCCCCAGGGTCATGGGCAACATCCTGGGTTGCTGTCAAGGGAACTAGAACTAAGTGACCATATGGAGCATCACTTGGCGACTAAAATGGAAAATGTAATGACACCTACTACACCCAGGTATTCTCATGGGGTTATGTAGAAAATTATAGGGATCTTGCCTCAATAATGGAGAATCAAATGGAAAAAGATAAAATGGAAGCTGGCGTTCTGAAAGGGTCATGCAGGGATTTTTTGTTTCCAAACTCAAGGCTCAGCAGCCCACCAAGACAAAAGTGCGGCTGCCAAACTTGATATCCATGGGCACATAACAGAAAATACATGTATAGGGTTTGGGGTTTAGGGTTTAACATGGTTTCTCCAGAATGAAGCTTGACTTCATTTCTGGAAACCCTTATAGAATTGCAATGTCCGTTTCATGTCCATTGTCTTTTCCATTTGAGTCTCCATTGCGGCAAATTTATATAAGCCCTATATAGCCCCCTAAACGGCAACCCGTAACAATTACTGAATTCAAGTTCCGTAAAAACAGCCCAGCATCTTGTGCACAGGCAAGACGCCCGCTCCGCAGAGTGGGGTCAAGGTTGACCTGGTTTCACACGGGGATTTCGGGAGATTAGATCTTCGGGTGTGAGGTCAAGAGTCTCTTGTTGGGTGGTCTTCATAATGTCGGTTATATGATAAACCCTAAGCCCAAAACCCTATTTAATAGCATTTGTAGGTCAATATTGGGGTTGCCCCTCCTTTGTGAAACTAGCACATTGGATTATGTTTTAGGGTTTAGTTGGTCTTCCTTATCGGGTTGTAGTAGAATAACCGAAAACGATAATCCAGGTTTAGGGTTTAGGGTTTAAGGTTTAGGGTATTCCTTCCTGGCTTTTGGCATAACTCAGAAGTTATAATCTAAAGCATTTGTCTTACTGCGCCTTGTAGAAAGAAAAGCTAAATGCTGTACGTAAAACAAGCTGGTGGTATCTTCTCATGCTTCCTATTTCACCGCTTGCAAGTAGGCCCTAAATCCAAGAATGAATATCACTATAAATCCTGCTATAGGACAAAGAGCCCCTATGTAAAGAGACCACCAAATTGTCCAACCTAAGCACCTAAGCCCTAAACCATAAACCCTAACTCGTAAAGCCTAAACCCTAAATTCTAAACCCCCTCGCCTAAATCCTAATCTAGAACCCTTCTTCATCAGCCAGGGGACGTGGTTACTGAGCTGGACTGAACGATGAAGGTAATGCCGAGTCCAACCTTCGCTGACTGTAGGACCCCCTCAAAACGCTATCTGCTACCCTAATTAACCTACAGTGTTGTAACAATTGCCCTCCTAATTTGTAGGCATGACCCATACCACTCTAAGTAGTTGAGGTGACAGGTAAACTTTTCGTTTAGGGGTTTCGAGTTTTAGGGTTCAGGGCTTGCGGCTTACATCGGAAGTCAAAAAGCTAAAGCCCTAAGAGCCAGGATTTTGCCAGCAGAGCAACAAGAATGGCAACATAGTCATTCATGTTGGTCGCACGCATGATGACCTGGACATGTGGTGCCGCTATAGGCCCGACGCATCGTAAGCCCTTGATGTAAAGGGCTTTTTCAAAGGGAAGAACGACAGCAGCATAGGGGATTCATATTGAGGTACCAGTACTGACGGAATTTTACACATTCGCGCACCCTTGCTGCCACTCGCACTACTAGACAATAACCTTGACCCTTAACCCTAAATGCTCCCTTGGGTTTCAAGGAAGGGCAAAAAAAAGGAACTGATTTGCTGACCCTCCCTCGCTTTCCAAACTCAAGGCTTTTGCAGGTGAGGATCCACCAGCCAAAAAAAACAAAGCTTGGCCGTCAAAGTTGGGACAACAAACCCATGTCCTCTACTGTGCGAACAGTGTCCCCCCCAAAAAGGGAGTCAGGAATTTCACAACTGCTAGGGGAGGAGCCCTAAACCTAACCCTCAACCCAGAAAAAACGGTAAACCGTAACCCTACCATGCCTTCTTTGCGGAGCCCATGATCAGGGTGTGGAGCAGCTTCACAAGACAGAACCTACACAGTTATCAGGGTTCAGGGTGTAGGGTTATAACCCTACTTATGATTGGGGTAACCCCTATATAAGCCATTTAAGGGAGTTATAAGTAGGGTTATAAGCCCACTTATAAGTAGTTACTAAGTCCCATGAAGCTCCAAGTAGGGTGTAGTGTTCGGTGTGTGGTGTCTAGAGAGCTGCCCGTATACACTGTAAGGAGCGCCGAGCATGGGTGTTTCGGTAATGTCAAAAAATTGGGGGTCCCTTTTGCTATGTTGAGTTCGCCCTGTTTATGGAAACTACTATACGCGCCGTGAAAAATGCGCAGCTTTGGGGTTTAGGGTTTGTGGCTCAGTGTTTGGAAGAGCCTTGGAGTTTCGCATCTAAAGCCGGCTACACACCCGTTCATATCAAAGGAACGCTGGCATACGCTACTTCAGAATAGCAGGGCCACGACTTGAATATTTTAATATGGCTAGTCGTGGATTGGAATTCAGCTGAACCTCCAAGTACTGATGGTCAGCGTGGAACTAAGAGATGGAACTGAAAATGGAACACACTAGTGGGGATTGAAAATCCATTGCTACATTTTGTTATTTGGGAGAATTACATCCAGAGTCAAAACTGTATCCTAACAAAACCCCCCTAAACCCTATATTATGTCCTAAGGAGGGTCAAGGGGCAACGTGACGCAGATGATGATCAGCGAGAAGATCAGGCCAACAGTGCCTCCGGCCGCATCGCCCATGCCGGAGAAGAGGCCTCTTACTTTGCGCTTCATATGGGAGTCTCGAAAGACAGGTCCCGCTTTGGGGCCCATATTAAGGAGTAGAATAATTGGGTGTATATAATTAAGGGGGACGGCTGCTTTTGCAAATACCTTTGCCATTGTGCTTGCAACTGTTATTTAGCGAGTGCAGTGTCAGCATTAACATCAGTACTCAGGACTGCTTTATCGTCACAATGGTGGCTATCGTTTCACTTGTTTGTCCCTACGTGCGATTGCATTTTGCTAAGTACTATCAGTGTCTCACATACAGCTTCACCAAGCTTAAAAGCACTATAGCTATGGTTTCCGGAATAAGGTGGTCACGATTTGTGCGCTTAGAGAGCATTTTCTGAACATGGCGATAAACATAGGAGAGATAGGGACATATGGGGATCTGAAGCATTGTAGGGAACCCCTTGCAAGATGACCTGAAGTACAAAATTTCGAGCAGTTCGAACATAACTTCTGTTCAGTACTGCGCGCCTCTGAAAGTTCCAATGCCCTGAATTCCCTCTCTAACTTGAATCTTGCTCCAACTTGAATGCGGAGCAATGCATCCGCTAGCCCGGACCAGAACATCGACATCTTGGTTGTCTATCCCCTCCGGAAGAAAGCGCTCAGAGCGTCGCTATCCAAGACCGATTGACTGTCATCATGAAGTTGAAGACTCACAGAAGATGACATCTTCCTGAAGATTATGTCAGGGTATAGGGTTGAGGGGTCTAACTGGCCTTCATCCATGATAACGCCGCTGGTGACGGACTGCGTATAGAACTTATCGGCCTCCATGTAGCAAGTGTCCGAACCGCAGTCGAAGGTCCTCTTTGGGATTACAAGAGGTAGGCCAAGAAGTCATCACAGGGGGAACTTCATTGCCCCAACCTCAAAACAGGACTCTTCTAAGATCCTTAGTGTAGGGGTGGGGTTTTCCGAAATTCTCTCCTTTCGGAAGAATAGCGCAGGAGCGAACCTCTGCTAAGGTCTCAAGCAGAAGAGGCCTCATTGCTACACCCTCAGCCCTAGTGTAGGGGCTAATGTATATATATATATGTACCAATATCTATTTGAGGTCTATTGGAGCTTTACTATTGTTCTACCTTGAACATAGGACTACAACATTGATACATATTGAGACCCATATATTATGCAAGCCAATAAAGGCAGTCCCGGTTGGGAACACGTCGGTGCACGTCTGGAGGTTTGCGTAGTTCGTCTTGTCCACCTCCGCTGCAAGAGATTCGGGCGGACCTACTACATAACGCAAGCAAGCACACCGGCAAAAACAACATGTCTCACTAGTGAGGGGGATTTGAGCCGTAGACAATCGCGCCAACAGGACATGAAAACTCGACTGGGCTTTTTACCGTTTAGGAATTAGGACTGGATCTTTGTGAATTTGAAAGTAACTTCAACAGCTGACCTCTCGTTTCATAATATGAAACAAGGATGATGCACACACGCACGCACCTAAAGGACAGCATGATTCCGAGAAATCGAAAGCTCCACAATGCACCATCATCGCTGGCTTGCTAGATATCCTCCGCTGAGTGCCCCGGAAAGGTATATCCATCCACCCAACAAAATCGGAATCTATCATTCTGGGAAACCGCAAACTCCGTAATGTTTCTAAGTCGCACGACTATAGGAGGCATCTGTATGTACATGCAAACCTCTAAAACCTCTGAAAGAAATGCCCACGTCTTTGAAACGACACGAGTGCCCTCAGAGCCTCAACACGTAAGAACGAAGACTTAAGGGCGCGCAAACTCGTGTCTTCCAACAGGCTAGAAGACGTGCAAAAAGTATGAAGAGTGTACACAATGACAAGGATTACACAGATATTTGATGGGAACGGAGCTTTCTCAACGTTCTGGGTCACCTCCCCATGACAGGGAGCCATGCAATCTGATGACCACCTAGTAAGAGAACGTCGAACTTCACCAAAAACCCCTTTCTTGATTACGCCCATTGAGCACTTTGGGTCTTGCGCGCCTTCTTCCAGTTCTTGCTCATGGACGAAGACACGCAGAAGTAATTGGTGCAGTCCATGTTCGCAGGGCAGCCGGTCACTCCAGCTGGCATGGCCGTGGCCTTGGGAGGGCCCAGGGAAAGGGCCTTCGTGACATCCTTGTTCGGGTCGACAAAGATGTCTGTCACCGGGCTGACAATGAACCTGGGATCAGCTTCACGATCATACTGACACACTTGCATGCGTTCCTGTTTGAGCTCAAGCAAACACAAGCTCGAAAGTCTTCTGTCAAGCTGGTCTCAGAACTTTGTCGGGGATGTGAAGGTGATGTCACCGCCACTGCCACCCATGGCTGCATCTGCGATGCCCTTCGAAATGTAGAAAAGAAGGCCGCCCTCTCCAGTGATTGCGCCGAGGATGATCTGAGAAAACGTGGCAAATTACCATCTGGGTAGTAGCCAAAAACAGAGGTAATTGATGTTGGTGGTTGTTGTGGTGGGTGGCTGGCGGCAGCAGCTGCAGTTTTTCAATGTCGCTATTATTCATCATCGTCGTCGTCGTCGTTGTCGTTGGTGTTGTTGTTCTTGCTGCTGCTGCTGCTGCTGCTGCTGGTGTTGTTGGTGTTGTTGTTGTTGTTGTTGTTGGTGGTGGTGGTGGTGGTGGTGGTGGTGGTGGTGGTGGTGTTGGTGTTGGTGTTGGCCTTTGAGCCTTTCGCTGCCTTGGAAAGCGTGCCACTTTTGGGATTTTGGTTGGCAAGGGGGTGGGTGGGGGCGGGGTACTTACGTGCACAACACGCGAACACCATGGAATTTACAATGTTTTCTTGTTGCACAGATTTTAGCGAAGAAGCCGCACTGTTTCGCAGATGCTGGATTTGTCTTTTTTGACGAGGTTGCTTTCGTCGAATTGGTGTGAAAAGAGTTTCCTCAGAAACGCCTACCTTGCCGAAAGGTCACGGAGTTCAGCAACATAGATTCCGCAAATTTTCCCATGAGATATCAGCGGTCTCTTTCTAGCCACAGACATGCGCATTATTCGCTCCGGCTCAGAAGGTGTATGTTAGAAGTCGCCACGATGAACTTTTCATGCTTTGGCCCTTTTATCCAGGCCTAGGTTGGTGATAGCTAAAGATGTATCGTCCGTTGGTGGTAGATGCCCCCAGAAGACCTGTGTGTGCGATCTGGCATCTGTGCCGGCTTGTCGCTTCATAATCGGGTAGGACTAGTGCTCTGTTCGAAAACAAGGGACGGGCCACCTCATGATACTTGGGGGAAACTGTTCGTAAGATTCATGGGAAACAGTAACCAAAAGGGAGCACCACCGCACCATACTTGGGTAGGACTAGACCTGAGAAAAAGGGAGCCCTCTGATGATACTTGGGTGTGACTATTGCTAAATTTCACAGTAAGCAACAGCCAAAAGGGAGCAAGACACCATCGTACTTGGGTAGGACGGGTGCTCTATTAGAAAATAAGGGAAGGGCCCCCCTCCTGATACTTGGGTATGACTATTCGTAAAGATTCGTAGTAAGCAGCAACCAGCACCACCACACCATATTTGGGTAAAGTTGTGGCGTTCCTCTGTAGGCCGTGTGGAAGACTTGATGAAGCGAAGGCAAATTAAAAGATATTGAATTCTGCCTATTCCCGGGAGGCTCTCTGGGGCCGAGGAATCAAAAAAAGACGCGCAAAACGCAACTTTTCGTTTTGCAATTCTGCACCTGCAGTTGCCTGCTTCACACTGCATGTCCTTTGAATTGTCGCCAAATGCCTATTTGTAGAATAACCCACGCAGGCTTCCTGTTTCGTAAACTTCGCCATGCGCATACTCTTGCCGCCTTCAAACTTTCTCGTCCTACCTTTCACGGCGGCGAAAGGCACAAGGACCTTCTTGTTGCTGTTGTCTTAATTGTAGTTGCTGCTGCTGCTGCTGCTGCTGCTGCTGCTGCTTCTGCTGCTGCTGCTGCTGCTGCTGATGCTGATGCTGATGCTGATGCTGATGCTGCCGCCGCCATTGCTACCTCTCATCTTGTGGCAAAAGAGGCAGAAAATCAAATAGTCGTGGTCGGCAAGTCAAACAGGATAAGTGCAATAGCTGAACCAGCTAGCATGCTAAAAGTCTTCATTGCATGTCAGGAAGCTTCCTCAGGCAGGAGGACAAGGACGCTGAGCCTAACATGGCGCTATCAACGCAAGCGGGTCTAGACTCTAGACAGACAGGTCCGCAGCTAGTCGCTGCTTCAAGCTTTAAAGCTTGCAAGTAGCACAAGTGCATGTGATAATACTTGCACTGGCAAGAGGAAACCGCCATTAATCAAGGCTGACCAGGCACATGTTGAACATGTCATGCACAGTTGCCCCAGAGAAGGCGCGTTCAAGTTCGAGACGCTCGCCGGCATGCGCCATAGACACCTCAGCTCCAAGCCCTGTCAGCTGCAAGATTGCTGGCGTGTGGCTACACGATGAAGAAGGCTAGCTCCTCCCCATGGTTGCTATTTATGCATGGTTGCTTGATAAGTTTTATGGGCGTGTCAAAAAGGTCACCCCCAGAAGAAAAACTACACTGTAATATGGTAGATAGGAACTGCCACAAAAAGGACCCCTGATTTTTGGAAACCCCCTAAACACTAAACCCTGGAGGTCTGGGTTGTTGCAGCACATAGCTGAGGGCAAGGCGATGCTGTTGGTCACAGATGTGCCAATGTTGGCCTTGGCTTCGGGTCTTGGGACTAAGGGTTTTGGTATCAGGGTTTCAGAGTTTAGGATTTAGGGTCTGGGAGTCCGACTAGGGATCTCTTTTGGTGAGGTCCATAAAATGCTGAGTATAGTTACGAGTATAATATTTGGGGGGTGCAGAAAGTGGACCCTACCTTATGGAATCTAGCATATTAGTCAGAAATTGAAACATGTCATGCCCGGGTCAGCTTGCGATGCACATTTGAGATTTGAGCCTACATGGCATGCAACAGGACTCAAATCAGGATGTGCCTGATTGCTGGCGGGATGCTCCCATGATAATGGGGATCGCATTTCCGACGCTCACCTACCAAAGAAGCAAAGTCGTGTGTGAAAGGCACACATCAAGGACGGGCTTTCTGTATCATTGTTTCTCGTCTTCATGGGGATTGAATTTCAAATGCTGAAATGTAAGCCTTTACCTCTGTAGGTGAGCCTCTCTCCTAGGGTTCTTGCTACAATTCTTTGAAGCTAGTGCCCTAGCCCCTTGCAAATTTCATCATCTGCCGGCTTCGAAAGAAGCGGCGCAGTCATCGCAGGATGTGTTTGCTCCACAGCTTGGCTACGCAACGTAGAGGCCTGCATAATCACCAATACCATTTTTTGAAATACGTTGCAATATCATGATACACGGAGTCTCAGACTAAAATATTGGTTGTCGTTCAGGCCCTTACAATGTTGAAATTTTCCAAGGGTGCCGCAAAAAGCACAAGCCTGATCAAAAGCCAGGGACTGGTCGTGGTGCCAGTGGCTTTCCCAAGGGCCCCAAGTAGCCAACGGTAGGAAGGGGCTTAGGGTTTAGGTAGGGTTTAGGGTTTAGGGTGTATAGAAAACCGTGTGGCGTTGACTGCAGTGGTAACGATCGGAATCCTCATCCAAAAAGAGTTGAGCAAAGGCTTCCGCCCAATGTCAAATGCCCACCCCTGGCCATCCCCTGACACTACATTTTCCCAAAATTAGGGGTGCTTTTTGGGGAGTCCCCATAATAAGGATTATAGTCTTTGGGGGGCTATATTCGGGCCCCCCTTCATTTAGGGAAACTGCTACATATCCCTTGTAGTGAAGGGAACTTTCAAGTACATCGATGCCATTCCCATCATTACCTACGAAATACCATGACACTGGTAGTAAACCCTAGAAACTGAGTCCGCATACACCCAATTTCCATTTCATTTTGCATTTTTCTATTTCCTGCTCCACTATCCTGGCATAGAGTTTTCCCTGCTTTGCAGCTCTAACCCCTAAATCCGGATACTACACAAATAACCCCTATATAATCCCAGTTTCCATTTCATTTTCCATTTTCTTATCCATCTGATTTTCCATTATTGGGGTAAAATTACCCTAACGTATCACCCCTAAATCCGATAGTAGCTTCCATTGATTTTTATTTTCCTTTTTAAATGCGCTCTGAGCCAGACCTGGCCCGCACCCACCAGGCCGACCACGATTGATGTGCTCCTTAGTTTAGGGTTTAGGGTTTAGAATTTAGGGTTTAGAGTTTAGGGTTGCGTTTATAGAGTTTAGGGGCATTGCTTAAAGCTTCACGCGGCCTTGAAGAAGTTCAGAGTCTGTGGGTCGAGGGGTTCACGGTTGGAGTTGTCTTCTTTTAGGCGTGTCCACTCCTGAGTAGGCGGAGTCGGACATAGAGTGCTCAAGGATTGCTGACTCCAGTTTGCCTGGCCTGGCATTCAACGTCTTCAGTTGTTGCGATGTCACGCTAGGGGCTGCATTAAAAACCCAAAACCCCAACCATTAACTTTCAACGCTATGTAAAACCTTAACCCTAAACCCCAAGCCGTTCCTATACATGCTGCTGGGTACCTTGCCACACAACAGGGCCCCGGGCATACACTAGTTGCTCTCCTAATTCCTAGCGCCGAGGCTCAAGTGTTGAGTTTGTATCGTTCAGGGTTACAAGTTTCCTACACCGAATGATGCCGCAAAAATGTTAGCCCCCGACATTGCAAAACTGCGGAGTCTATACGCCAGAGTGACACTTGCCTTGAGACATAGCCATGTGTCGTGGAGGAGGACTGGACGAGGACAGTTGCCAAGATGCCCACCATAAGACCTGCGGTACAGTGCATGGTTCATAAAATTTTCCAAAAACAAGAGCAGTTCGTTTGTTCTTCTGACCCACCTGATGATGGTTCGATGACTCTGTTATGGTTCACCATTGCTATGGCTACTACTGTGCATTATCACGGCTATGGTTCTGCTTCTTGCTAATGTAGATCCATGATTAATGACCCCCTCCTTTTAAGCGCCTTACTCATATATCCCAATTATAATCCCCGTTAAATTAAGGGGAAGGAGTGTATTCATCACGGGGCTGGGTTGGTGTTCATGACAGTTTTAGCTCCTTATGTGCAATGTATGATTCTGACCCTATTCTTGCTGCGCAACTGGATGCGAGAATAGTGCCTGCTGGGCGGTTGAACCAAGTAAAGCTATGTTCTTTTGACAAACTACTGTAACCAAACAGAGAATACAACCTGACCGGATCCAGCATACACCTTTAACCTTAATGCCATCATCAAGAAACTTACTGCACATCGGGGACTATAATGCCCAAGGCCCTAAGAGCTATACTGGGGACTATAATGCCCTAAGCCCTAAAGCCCACGTTGGGGACTTTATTGCCCTAAGCCCTAAACCTTCAAAACTCCTCGCATGAGCTAACGGCATCCCGCCTGTTATCGGGTTGTCTGTGATCGTGAACAATTCGCCTCGCGAGTGATTGCGGCACGCTGTTGACAACCCTCAACTTGCTGATGTTTTCGCGGTTTGGGGTTCAGTGTAGGGCCTAAAGAGCTAAGGTCTAGGGTTAAAGGTTCAGGGTCAGAGGAATGGAAAGAACCTGGAAACTGTAATAGGGTTTAGAGTTTCTGGTGCTCAAGGCAATGCAGGGTGGGTGACGAGATGTACTACGGGTATTCTACTGGGTTGGCCCCTAAAGCCCTTTGAAAAAAATATTAGTATATAGGGTCCCTTATTAAGGCCATTAGGGAAAATATTAAATATCCCAGGGGCCTACCCAGTCTAAAGGATCTCTTAAGAATCATTCTAGGGATCCACTGACCCAATCCCGGTCGAGCACCAATAAGTCGATCCGAAACCCCAGCTAAACTGCCAAGTCTAAACATGAAACCCAAAATCCTACTAGTCCCCACCAACCATTCCCAAACCCTAAACCCCATCCCCAGCCTAAAGCTTCAAGTCTACATGCGAAACCCTAGGCCCTAAGCCCTATAAGCCACACCGCTAAACAACGTGAGCCCCTTAACTCACAGTGTACCGTTTACTTGGTCCACATTACCCTAGGAAGAAAAACGGATCCTTTTTTCCTAAATATAAGGAATCCCATACCCCAAAAAGTAAAAAGGATCCCTAACATTGATCCAGTTTAGGGTTTAGGTTTCAGACTGGAGGAGGCCTACATAAATCTCTTTTACGTATGGTTCAGGGTTTAGGGATTAGGGTTTAGGGTTTAGGGTTTAGGGTCATAACCACCCAGTAGCTAACCTTGGACCCCAAACCCTAAACCTAAAACCATGAACTCTACATCCTAAACCCTGAAGCACCCTCAACCCTAACACTCCAAACCCTAAATCCCTAAAACCCAAACGTGGTCTCCGAAGCCTGCGCCCTTACCTCCCAGGACGAGGAAGGAGCTACCCATCATGTCCAAGCCCATCCTAGGCTGTTCAGGGGTTTAAGTCTTAGAGGCGAGGGTATGGTGAGAGTTCAATTGAGGCATTGGAGTTTAGTGACGAGGGTTCACAGTTTGGGGATGAGGGTTTCGTACATGAAGGTTTTCAGTTGAGGGGCTGAGGGTCTAAGTTTAGGGCCTGCAGCAGACTTGGAGGCGGGCCCGTGATCAAAGACTCAAGCCTTATAGCTAACGGACTGGTCATGATGTCCGCGTTGCGATGAGGTCAGTTTAACAAATATGTTGAGAGCTGTCAAAATTCTGATCTGCTTTCGGGTACCCTAGCGATGAGCATATACTAGGAATCCACAAAGGGACATGGTTTCGACGACCTACTAATTCTATGAGGATGCTACGTGTCTGATTCGCAAATTGAAACCTCTTCAAAGTCTGTTCCTCTTCATAGTCTCTTAATTAAGTCAGCCCAGCGTCAGGAAGAAGTAGATCGACGCAAGCACGCCAATGATCCTCAGGGTTGTGTAGAGGATGAACTCTCCCTGGCTCTGCGTCTTTGTTGCTTCCTCGGCGGCCATGGCGGTCGAGAGAGCTTTGAGAAGTCTTGAAGCTAAATGCACTGAAGCCTTGATCCGAAAACTGCAGCAAACAGCGGTTTTGCGTGGCTGAACCAACGAACATTACATATGCTGTTCGTATAGTAGTACAACTGAAACGCTGTGTAATCTCACATATAATTGGAGACTATGGTATTCGCGGCTTTTGATTTTCTAGTTTGGAATTCTGACGTAATGCGTAATTTCAGATACACGCTCCATTTTGATACAGGAAGTAGTTCGTGATGCCCGACAAAAAACAAAACAAAAGGGTGGAGATGTTTGCCTCGCTTTTGTGTAATTGGATTTGTGTAAGGATTCGGATTGAGGCATCAGGTTTTCGGCTCACATGCACACTGCATCTTTGAACTGTCGTAACTAATTGCATGCACACCGCTACTGTCCAAGCATTCCGTGAGTTTGTCTGGGTGGCTTGTCGGCAAAAAGCAACTGTATGTAGTCATAATTCGGTTACAAGTACAAGTATACTCGCAAGCCTTATGCAAACCCTATATCGTAAACACTAAACCCTTTGGGCATAGGGCGGTATGGAACCAGGACCATGTGAACCCTCGGCCGCAAGGGTGCATTGCAAGCCTCAGATACATTTGCAAACGCTGCATTTCCTCCACGCAAATAAATACTTCCGTCATTTACCAGCTGAATCAGAGCACCATTAGCAGTGCAGGAAGATGCTACGTCATGTCAATGTTTGCCACGGCGAGCAGCGGCATTCATGGGAGAGTTTTGTTGACTGCTGGCGACAAGGCACCAGCAACAGAATCTCCCGGAAAAATGTCAAAAGCAAACAGAAGCGTACTTGCGCTCTGCCTTCAAAACTAGATCTGACTCTTTGCATGTCGTCAAATCAAAGGCCAACCCTCGATGGTAAAGGCCAAATTGCAGGCAGACCTGGACATCTACGTTGACAAGGCCCATGGATTTCGATATGTGTCCCTATGTAGGGATATATACATATATATATATACATAGTCACATATGATGGAGAACATGCACCAAACGGAAAGGAACACTGTTCATGAAGCTATTATATTCATACGCGAAAACAGACCACAAGGCCGCTTGCTAGTTCCGATCTTTGCAAAAAAAAAAGAGGTGGTCTCTCTATCTGTTCCAGTATGCACTATAATCCGGATGCCTAGAACTGCCCCGATAAAAAGGAGGCCCTACTTACAGAGACCACCAGCCTGCCAAAATGCAGAATGAAAGGTCAAAGCCAAGTCATACATGGGAATTGATCAAAAACCTGGTCCCAAACCCGCCAGCATGGCAATTAGTTTACCTTGCATTTCCCGGTATAAACCCACGGGAACCCTAAGTAATTCTAGATCAATCCCCATATGGGCAAGGTCAACGGAGCTTTGCTCACGTCAGGCATCCCCCTACTTGCCATAGTCCGTGCTGCGCAGGAATGTTGCATCACGCTGTTAAACGGCTTACGGCTTAGGGAGTTTAGGGTCCAGGGCGAAAACCCACCCGACAACCTGATCTGACTAGTATAACAACCCACGCACACATGAAACTCAAGGCTGTGACGCTGCCCTTGTTCTTTGCCAAATACAAGTGAGAACCGCCTTCCAAAAACAAGGTATGCGAGCTTCCTGCCGTGAAAGGCATGTGGAATGGTTTTTGAAGGTTTCTGGAGTACATGCAGGAGAAGGGGCTGAAAACGCTGACAAACGTGGTAAATCTGGGATCTGCGACCTCCAAATCCAGCAGATGCATGATGCTGCCAACAGAATAGTGTCAAAGTTTCAACCGGCCCCACGTATAGAGTCAAGCTCTTGTGTACTGGAATGCCAGCCATGCCGTTCCCATGGCGTGCTCCTCAGAAACCCACAATTTGAGAATAGCGCGACGCAGCACAGAAGTGCAAGCACGACACAATCCCTTCAGCGGAAACACACCTTCAACCCAAGACCCTACACGCTAAACATTCCCGTGTTAGGCCTTAGACCCTACCCTAAACCTTGACTGCCTCCTCGCAGCTATGGGAAGGAACTTGGCGCTAGGAATGACTGGTCACGTCAGAATTCAGTGAACAAGAAATAGTGGCAGGGAGTTGAAACTGTCTTGAAACTCTGCAATCGAAATCCTACACCTCAAGCCCACGGCGCATCCATAAATGACATATGAAAAGAGATGTCCTCTACCGCCCTTGAATTTCCATGGAACTCCGCATGGTCATGGTCAACTGTTCGGAGGAAAGAATTAGTTGTCCATGGGTTGAAAGCTTGCGGTCGCTGCGGGAAAAGCTAAGCAAACCAAGCCTTGTCCAACTAAGTACAGATACTGCAGGTTTTGAAAAGGCAGGCGTCAGCACAAAGAATGCACGAAACACCGTTTTTAGGGCCGCCGCCCGGAAAACGAGGTCGTCCCAAAAAAACGGCCTATGTCCCGAAAACCCAAAACGATGTAAATGGCAGCACTTTAGACTGTCGACGCGCAAAACATATTGCAAACGGATACATTTTCCAAGCACCAATCGCAAAGAGACCTCGCTTCCCTGAAGCCTGAAGCAGAGAAAACGCTGTAACTACCATGGAATTCGCGTGTTTCGGACCCTTCCCCGGCCCCCCCTCCACCGCCCCCTCCCCAACGCAAAAGTGTTGCGCCTTCCACGGCGGCTAACGGCCCACATGACAAAAACGACAACATAGCTATAAACATCCAGAAGGAAGGCAAGGTCAGTACCCATGCCCCTACGAAGTCTCATCTCTAATAAAGCATAGAAATCCAAAAGCCTGTGCAGATGCAACACTGCAGGTGGGCCTTGTACAAGGCACATCCAAGTGAGTAGGTGCAAATTTGGGTGCCTGCTCGAGGCTTCTTGCAGCACCCCACTAGGGACCTGTAATGTGGGTAAACAAATCCTGCACGCTCAACCTTAAACCTTGGTTTTGGCACATACTCAAGCGAGAGTATCCGAAAGTTGGGAATCCCATGTTCAGGTGGACTTTGGGTGCACCTGTGGGCCACCGTCTTCGGAAACTCTAAAATGACTCCGGCTGGTGGTCTCTGGGTCTCGGGTTTAGGCTTTACCTGCGTACCTTCACATTCTCTCTGCGTCCCTTCAATGGGAGTTCGGATATTATAAGAACATGTACATGCTGCCCCTCCACGAGAACCGGAAACTAATGGAGGCGCCTAAGTAAAACAAATAGGTTTTTGGAGCATACTCTACTCGTGTTCTACAAGGGTTCTGAGAATATCATGTTGATAGATGTTTGAAACCTAGCTGTCTGCATTACTAGAAGACCACCACGCCGCAAGTGGAACACATCGAATCAAGGTTCAGGCCAGGCTGCTTCAGGCTCCGTGCGGGCCGGCACGACCACGACCTTCTCACCTGGGTTCTGCGCTTGAGGCTGGGATAGGAGTGTCGGATTCAGGCTTGGGGCCGAGCGTCTAGAGCTCTAGGGATTTTGGAATGAGAGAGTAGGGGTTGCAATGAAGCTTAGGCTGCATATCTGGCCTTTTCTCACGAAGACAGCCCAAGATATAGATTCAGCGTCTTGGACGCCATCAGCACAAGCATGGTGGTCGTTCTGCCGAGTTAGGGCCAGCGAGTTCCATGTGTTCCGCTCCAGGTATTTAGCTCGGAGTGGTAGATATTGGGTACTGCCCCCACCCAGTAACAGTCTATATTAGGGGTCCTATTAAGGGCTATACATAACCCTATTATATTTATTATCCAACTGTTACTGAGGGGGGCGGTACCCAAGGTAGATACTACACAGTTCACAGGATGCGGGCCCAGAGTCACCTTGTAGCTTCCAGAAGCCGAGCCGACCAACCGTAAACCCTGAATCCAAAAACCCTAAACCCTAAACCCTGAGCCCTCAACCCTGAACCCTCAACCCTGAACCCAAACCCTGAGCCCTAAACCCTAAGCCCTAAACTCTGAAACCTGAACCCTTGATGAGGTCTCTGCGGACTGACCTCCTTCTCGTAAACTCTACAGTTATACCCCCTAAGAATGAAACCCTCACCATCCCTAACAATAACCCCCTCATGCGAATCATCTCAGTATATACATGTGAGTATATGTAAAAAGATTTGAGGGAACCATGTATCATTTTTGATGTTGTTTAGGCCAATACTATTTTTTGAGGGGATGGTGGAATCATTATTAGGGGGGCCCTTTTTTACGATTAGCGCCCCCAAACTCAAAACGCATCAAGCGCGACTGAGGCAGCCGCAATTGTTGTCTATGTGACTCTCCATGATTGGGATCATGTACTTACAAAACCCTTACATTATACATATATATATATGTATACACATTATGTGCAATCCCCTGTCACCTAAACACCTGACCTGAAACTCAATCACCCCTCCAGCCGCAACAACCCAGCCCCAGCCCTCCCTATCAGAAGCTCGTATATTTCAAAGGGGGACGGGGCAGGGGCAATCCGTACTCCCCCGTACTCCCCAACGCCAAAGCAGAATGTTATGCTAATATAACCCTAACATTACCCCAATGGGTACCTACATCCCCTATACCCCCACCCCCGCAGTGGAGAGGGCATCTTGACCTAGGTGGAACAAAGGCAACTCTTCTTTCAGGACTCACAGCTCAGATAAAAGGGTTTCCCAAAATTAGGGGTACCATTCTGGGGTTCCCTATACTAAGGACCATAGTATATTGGAGTCTAGATTGGGGTACCCTAATTTTGGGAAACTAGCATAAAGTTTCAGTGAGAACAGTAAGCTAAAAAAGCTGGACCCCATCTGAACCCTGCTGACAACGACCAGTGCCGCGTGCCTGAATCACCAAAACGCCGAATTGTTATCCCTTGACCCTCTTCCATCCATGCCAACAAACACCACGACTAAACCCTAAACCCCAAACCACGACTAATTTTCTGAGCGGAAGTCAAATTCTACAAGCTCCATATCTCAAACCCTATACTTACTACACCTACGGATATGATCCTACTACCTGGTTATCTTGCATCTTCATGATCACTTCAAAGCCCAGAACCCTATAGTCCCCCTTAAGTAGATAGAATATGGCTTCAGGGATGAGTTCCCGTATACCCCATATTCTATCTACTTAAATGGGACTAGAATCCTAAACCCTAAACCCTAAATAGTAGTTTCCATTTTCTTTTCCATTATCCCTATATATCCCTATATGACCCTATATAACCCCTGTATTCTATCTACTTAGGGGAGGACTATAGACCCTCATCCCAGAGCCCTACACACGGTTTAGGGTTTAGGGATTAAGGATTAGGGTTTAGGGTTTGGGGAATCCTCATCCCCTGGACCCTGATGTCAAATCCTAAAGTCTGAACCCCAATACCTCAACAGCATATCATCCAAAACCGAATCCCTAAAGCTCATATGGTAGTTTCCCAAAATAAGGGGACCCCAATATAGACCCCAAAATATTATAATCCTCATTATAGGGGCCCCCAAAAAGGTACCCCTAATTTTGGGAAACACCCATATGAGCCATTGTCTACACTCCTGGCATCCCCTTTAATAACCCCTGTGATACTCCCCTATTTACCCCCCTACACAATTCCCCTTCAAGGGCTTTAGACTATGGCCCATGGGATTTCCCATATAATCTGGGGATGCGTGAAATAAGTATACATTGCAAAGGTCCCCCTTAAGCATTGCGCACGGGGCGATTTTGACACTACCTACACCCTAAACCCTAGAGCCTAGAACCCTAAACCCTAAACCTTGGAACTCTAAACCCTAAACCCTAAATCTTGGAACTCTAAACCCTGAACCCTAAACCCTAAACCTTGGAACTCAGAACCCAAAACCCTAAACCCTAAACCTTGGAACTCTAAGCCCAAGGCCCCAAAACCTTATCCAGTCGCCCATCTCTTCAGCCAGCTCGGCAGCACGCTCGTCACGCAGCTCCTTGGAAACCACCTGCAGGTTTTCCGAGTTAAAATAGTTACATGACGTTTAGAGATATCTGCCCCAATAATGAAGAATCAAAAGGAACACAAAGTGGCAAATGAAATGGACCTGGGCTATAGAGCGGAACCAAGGAAGGTCTTCTCTTCTTATGTAATACTAGACTTAAAAGGAGGCTATGGTCTCAGTTTGGGTACTGCCCCCCCACAGTAACAGTTTATATTAGGGGTCCTATTCAGGGCTATATATATATAAATATATAATCATATTACAATTAGTATCCAGCTGTTACTGAGTGGGGGCAGTACCCGAGTCTCAGTGTATATTTGGAGGATAACACCTCCTAGTATGGTAATTCTCGACATCCCAGAACTCCTCACTTCCAAAACCGTGAACCTTCAAGCTTTGTGCCGTGACACAAGTTTTCTTCACCCTTGATGCAAAAGCTTTTAATCTTGAACCTACAGTCTGCGAATCCTAATGCCCTAAACCTTTTGCTCTCGTCTCTAATGAAGCCTCTCACTAAAATTTGAAGTTCCATGCTAGCAGCACCACTCAGAATGAGAATCCCAGGACACGTTTTCCGAGTAGTACGTATAGTTCCCATTAAACGGACGCCCAGCAAGACCCGCCAGTGTGGCCCATCTCTAGGGCTGTGTCCTCCTGACATTGGTGACAGTAGGTAAAGATCCAGTACACTCCACACACAAACCTTGAGAATCATGGCAGCCCGACAAGCATGATTGCTGAAAGTCGTTCAGGTCGTTCCATGAACTGTAAGTGACCCTGAACAACAAAACCGGCAGCTGTAAGCCACTGTCAGCTCCGAAAAGGCACCGGCTACACCATCCTACAGTTTCTGCAAATTACTGTTTTTTTGTTTTTACGTATACTGTCTCAGATTTCCAGTTTAGGGCTGTGATGGAAACTTTGGCCGGAGACCTTCGCCAAGATAAGATGAGCCCCAGACGAGGGTACTGCTGCTATTGAAGCCTTCACACTAACCCATCGTGATTGCCAGAATGCTTGTGTTTGACTTACTGCCATGACTACATGTTCTGCTGACAACTGTTCTGATTGAGATGCTCTACTACCTTTCCTGTGCAAGGGTAGTACAATGCAGCCAATTCGACTCAGCAGCCTTGTAGCAGCCTCCCCTCCACCACCAAGCAATGAAGCCACCTGGGTAGCTGTTAAGGAACTTAATTTAAGTTACTATATTGGGGAAACCCTATTATTTAGTATATATACCCATATGGTAACTTAAATAAAGTTCCTTAACAGCAACCCAGCCACCCAAAGCACCAAGGGCCAGAAGCGTGACGATCACGCCACCCGCTACGCTTGCCCCATACCTGGGGTTGGGGATTCAGGTGGGGGTAACAAATCTTACTAACTTAGTAAAAACGTTTATGCGTTATACATCCTGCCGCTGGTGTCCTCACTATGACCGCACTTACTTGGCCCCCCTGACCCTCTAAGTAGGGCTAGCATCCTCCAGGCAGCTTGCACGGATTTTAAGGCTTGGGGTTTCCAATAGAGACCAGTCAAGAACCTCCAAACCTAAACAAGTAATCCCTGAACCCTATCAAGACCCTGATCCTTGAACTACCCTAAACCGTACGTATCCCTTCATCCAAAGAGATGTAAAAGGGTATTCTGATTTTGGCAAAGGCCCAAGGTTCTGAACTCTACACCCTAAAACCCTACGCCCTGAACCCTAAAAACAAGACCCTGACCCCTAACAAAACCCAAAACCCCTGAAACATAAACCCCAACAATCTATAAAACCCTAATATGGCACCAGGCGCAGCAAGGAGATGGACAGGCAAACTCCTACCAATCTCAGTGAATAAGGAATGGAAAAATGGAAACTCCAATGTTATTCATGGTTTAGGGTTTAGGCTTTGGGGTTTAGGGTTTAGGATCTAGGGTTTAGGATGTTTTGGAAGGCAAAAGAAAATGGAACCTACTGTAGTGGAAAATCCGCCGACATCGTGGGAACGTGCTAGATGGCTTCACAAGATGGAACTTGAACTACTCTCGTCGTGCAGATTGGTCTCGTGCCCAGCCACCGAAAACATCAGGGTTTAGGCGTTGTAGACTTTAGGGCTTATGGATCTTAGTTTTGTGGGTTTACGCCGTCATTGCGTTCGGCACTTCTCCGCCTGTGGCGGACTGAGCCGGAGGCTCTGAAAGTAAAATGGGAAATGAAACCCAACTTACTACATAGGCACAGTACATACGGGTTACGCAGGCATGTATAGGGATGTTACCCCGATAGCGGAGAATCAGATGAAAAGAATACACGGACAACAACATGGAATCTAGATGTAGCGCAAAGATAAAGAACATGGAAACTACCTTGTCTTATTCAGGGCTCCATAACCCCAAGCCCTAAACGAGGTCTATTGTTTAGGGTTTAGTGTGCCTAAGCCCTAAACCCTAAACTTCACCAAGCCCAGGGTTTTGCGCAAGCTTCACAGCCGAGGGTTCGGGGTTGCCATTGAAGCTTGCGGGTCGAGGTTAGGGGTTTAGGGGTTTAAGGGTTTATGCAAGCAGTCTGCAGACGATCCGAACGAGAATGACGCCTGGATCCTTAGACAGAACATGGGATATACAAATTATTAATTACGCCGGCCTTCAAGCGCGGAGACGGGACCGACCAACTCGACAGTAATTATTCCACACCTCTTTCGGTGAGATATATGCTATGGGACATTCCATTGGCTCCTTATCTGGGCCAAAAACATTTCGCATAGCGCTTGAGTATTTCCGGGCGTTCAGCAAAATATGAACTGGCGACTGTGCTAATGGCCTAAGAGTTTGGGGTGCCAACGTGGTGCTGGGGACCATCTCAGGACACCCAAAAACTGTAAGCGATTTGGCTCTGTGAAATGCAAAGTTGATTTGGCGATGCTTAGCCAGAAACTTAAGTGCATGGTAAAACGTAGTGACTTGTTCTCCCAGGGGTTGCCTACAGACCCCTAAGCCGGGATATTCAGCTTCTGTTAAGAAAAGCGACGGGGCTGTGCATTGTGCAAGTTCAGGCGGCTTGGTTCCAGTGGTGAAAGTGGCCAAGTTTTGCGGTGCCATCCAACCGGTGTTTTTGACGAAAGAAATATACATCTCCAACACAGAGACTGCTATGCCTGAATCCACCCACTGTTGATTGGCCAAGAAAATTTGCAAAACCCACAAAAATCTAGGTCCGAAGAGGCCATCTTAAAACACAACAGGCTCAGCATAGTGTGTATTTGACTTGCCCCAAGCAGCCTGCTGGAAGATAGGTCGTACGTTAACGCAGGTTCCTCAGCAAGCCTTTGTTCCCCCACTGCACGCTGCATGCCAGCAGGAACATGTTGTGCAAGTTTCACAATGTTTTCCTGAAATTTAAAAACATGGCAAGCTTTGCGTAGCTGTGTGTTTGCTGCTTCCAAGGCTGCGCGATACGCGCTCGTCTGTTCGTCTGTCCACTTGTGCTGCGCGGCTTTGGCTGCCTGATCCACTTGGTCGTTGTGAAAAGCGCACCATTGCAAGAAGGCTGTGGTCTGTTGACCAGGGTGCGTATGGGAATGCACATGAGTGATGGTCCACCCGCATCGTTTTTGACGAAGTATGCCCCAAATTTCCCACCATAACTCCGTGTCTGCAAGCTGGAGGAAACGGCTCGCGACCCAACCATAAGTTAACAGAGTTCGGAACCCTTGAACGACCCCAAGATTATCACAGAAAATATCTGCCGATTCGGCACACTGAACCACTACGAAAATTGCAAACAGTTCTGCCCTGTAGTTGCACTGCTTGCAGGGCAGGACACCCGAGTACAAAACAGTAAATTCGCGTGATTGTGGGGAGGCCAGCGTGACAACCCAGGAGCTTTTCCGTACAACTGTGTGTGGTATCGTGCTGCCGTCTGTGAATATACACGTGCGGTCACGAACGCAACTTTGGACGTCAGGCAAGGGAACTGAGTTACAAACCTGGAACCAATGCGCCACAGCAGGGGGGATTTCCCACAGCCCTCTCAGTAACTGATCGTCAGAGAAGAGTTCGTGCGGATCCACAAGGGATTCATCACGAACCGTAGCATAATGAGGGCAATGACGCAACCTATGGTTATAGCTATCCTCGAACCCACAACAGCGACATTTTGCATCATTTTCAGGAAGGAAAGGTCGTTTCTGTTTTGTAGATTGGGCCGCGCCAACAGTAAAACTTCCAAGGATGGGCACAAGTGCTTTGGATGCAGAGCGTAACTTTACGGTATGCATTAGGTTTACATGGTTGGCGTTCTCATACCCCTGCTGGATAGGCAGCTTGGGGCACAAAACAAGCCACCACGCGTTGAGAACCATTTCACGCAGTGATTTTTTCGAGAGAAGGCAAAGATTCACTGAAGCCCCGTCTGGGGTGCTACACGTACAATCCATCTGGATTTCCCACGAAAGGGAACGCAGCTGCGCAAATAAATAAGACAATGGGCCTACGACCGACCTTGCTTGCAAAACTGAGTTCCAACTCTCACAGAGTGCTGTGGCGTCCAAACAGAACTGCCTGCGCAGAGTACTCAAACGAGACATCAAAAACAGAATGAAGGGGTCATACTGTTTTTCAAGGGCAAGGATTGGGGCTAAAAAATGGTTACGTGCATTTGCTAAACCCCAAACCGCAGAGGAATACTTGCCCCGAAGGCCACTGCATGTACTTGGCGCCGTGCTGACGAACCCACAACCAAAAGACACTGCAGGATGGATGACTTTCAACAGTACCTCAGCCTTTCTGGTATGTGACCAAATCATAGCTCGCAAATGCCGCAATTTCGGTTCTGCTGCATCGATGCGCTCCAACAGTTTGACTGAAGTTGCTTGTGTGCTGCTGTTGCTAGATCATTCAAGCCGTTGTGGGCATAATGGTGCACGCTGGGGCCAAAGAGCGACGTGGTCAAGCGCCACAGCTGGCATGGCTCGGGAGCTGCAGCAGCTCGTTGAGCAGCTGACCGCAATCGTAGGCTAGACATGTGCAGGTTCCTAACAGGGAGTTGTGTTTTCTGTGGGAGCTACTTATTGTTTTGGCAGGGCTGCAAGCCCAGTAGGTTCGGAGACCGCACCTCGGATCCTGGTGCATGGACAGTACCCGGTAGCAATAGCTAGGGTGTGCCGCCAACAGCGCGGCACAGCTTGGAAAGGGAGGCTGCTGGAAGCAGTCTCTTGCTCCCCGAACATGAGACTCATGTGCAAGGGGTTGTGAGTGAGTGAGAGTGTGCTGCTGTTGAAATTCACGCCTAAATCCGAAACCTTTAGAGCCACTTGCAAAGGAAACCCTTGAAAGGAGACTGAACGCAAGAAAGATCTCCCAGCGGCAGTGGTGGAATAGGCTCTAGTTTTATCTGGATTGAGTATTAATTTCAAGGATGAGGTGGCGGCATGCGCTACTTGCAAAAAATCCATCACGGACCGGCTGCTGTGCGTTTGAACAGCCCAGTTGTCAACATAGCTAGTGAGGCGGTGGCCCCGACTAGCAGCAAAATTTGTGATAGCCCATGTGAATAGGATCATGGCCGGGACAGCCAGTGGGCAGCCCTCAGGCACCCCCACTTTACTATGCTGAGGCCCATACAAACTGTCACCTACGCGGAAGAATCTCTGAAGATTATTGAGGTAATTAAGGTACGCTTGTACCGACTGCTGCGGCCAGCCAGCCCGAAGTGCAAGTGCTGCGAACATGTTTCGCTGTAACGTGTTGTATGCTTTCGACAAGTCAAGAGAAATTCCAAACAACTTAGTTTCATTTGACATGGCTTCTTCGATTTGCACGGCTAGGGGCTTTAGGGGTTTAGGGTTTAAGGGCTTAGGGCTTTAGGGTTTAGCGGTTTGGGTTTAGGGGTTTATGGTTTACTGTTAGTCTTTGTAAAGCCCAACAGTATTGGTAAGTGTGCAATTGAGAGTTTCCAACAGGTAGGGGTTGTAATGTTTGGGGATATGTGAGGGAGACCCCTTTCCTGGAACCTAAACCCTAAACCCTAATCCCTAAACCCTCATTATCTTCAGGGTGTATAGGGATGCCGCCGGCGCACATAACATGATCACACCTTGTCAAAACATTCTCCCTTAAATCCTAAACCCGAAACCCTATAAACCCAAAAAACCCTAAACCCTATGCCCTAAAGCAGCAACCCTAAATCTTCTCTTCGGATCTTGCCTGGCACAGCAAGGAACATCACCAGGATGTAGATTAGCGGCACGAGGCGCCAGTAGGAAGCATAGAAACCAAGCAGGCAGGCTGCTTTGAGAGGCACCTTTCATGGGTCCCGCTGCTATCCCCGCTTGGTTCCCTCTCTAATAAGGCGTTATGAAGCCTTACTATCTCTAAGTAACTGTGATGGGTTAGTATAGGCTAGGGGGAGGGTAGTAGGGGGACCCAAGAACCTTGCGCATGATTGGCGCTGGGAACCAAATCAGGATACCAACAATGTTGAAGAAGAGATGGACGAAGGCGATCTGCAAGCTGTCTGGTTTCATAACGGCCAAGGCAGCAAGCATGGACGTAAAGGTAGTCCCGATGTTGGCCCCCAGGGTCATGGGCAACATCCTGGGTTGCTGAAAGGGAACTTAGATGAAGTTACAATAGTGGAGCATCGAATGGAAAATGACATGGAACGTACTACACATAGGGATTACGACTCGATTATGTAGAGATGTATAGCGCTACTGCCCCAGTGACGGAGAATCAATTGAAAATTGAAACATGACATGGAAGCTGGAATTATATAGCAACTACGTACGGATGTGATGCAACAGAATGGGTCCCTTTCTTGCCGCTCAGACTACTGGACAATACTTACTCGGTTCTTTGTGGTGCTTAAAGGAGGCTACTTAGTTCAAGTTACTTAATTCAAGCTCCCTAACAGCAACCCAGCATCTTGTGCACAGGCAAGACACCCGCTCCGCAGAGCGGGGTCAAGGTTGACCTGGTTTCACATGGGGATTTCGGGAGATCTGTGCTTCGATGAGTCCCTTTGTGGGGTACTTATCATAAGGGCTGTGATATGGGGCCTCCCATAATTCTTAGGAACTACCACCTTGAGTTGGGTTTTAGGGTTGGACGACTCGTGGTTTCTTCATATCTTCGTATATAGGCCCTAAATCACATCATAAAGATCCCTTTTTACCCCCTAAACCAGAAACCCCATGTGAAGAGACTACCAACCTGTCTAATCTCAACCCTAAACCCTAAATCCTGAACCCTACGCCCTAAATCCCCGCAACAAAACTATAAATCCTAGACCCTAGATCCTAAACCCTACCCCATAAGCCCTGGCCTTTAAATCCTAATCTAAAACTCTTATGCATTACGCATCAATCCAGGGACGTGGTTACCGAGCTGGACTGGACGATGAAGGTAATGCCGAGTCCAACCTTAGCGGGCCATGGGACTCCGCCTCACCCATTGGGGTAATATTCGGGTTATGTTGGGGCTACATTGGGAGAATGGACAATAAAATGGAAGCTACTATTCATGGGCTAGGGTTTAGGAACTTTGAGCTGAGGGTTTACGGCTTAGGGTTTCGGTGTTCAGGGGTTCGGGAAGGTCAGCTTTTGGTTTTGGGCTTTGAATTTTAGGGTTCAGCGGATCAGCTTTGAGGGTTTGAGTAGGAAACCCCCAAAATTGAAGTCCTACGGTGGATACTCAAAATCCTGCATGACCCTAAGTACTATATACCTCGGGAATTATAGTGCTGTAGTATATCAAGGTCATTCAGGATTTTCAATATGCCCTAAACCCTAAACCCTAAACGGCAAGGTTAGAGCCAGCCAAGCAACAAGAATGGCAACGTAGTCATTCATGTTGGTCGCACGCATGATGACCTGTGTGGCGAGAGGGGTTATATAGGGATAATTGAAAAAAAAAAGGAAACTACTGTAATATATATAGGGATATATTGGGGTTATATACCTAACAGAGTTTAGGTTCTTGAGTTGTTAAGCTTGTAATCCCTCTTGGGGTCCCCTGTATAATGGGGACCTAAAATTAGGGCACCCAGGCAAAGACCAAATGGTGACAAGCCCCATGTGAAAGTTTCCAATTGTTTTTGTATTTTGGGGGGGGGAGTTCCTACCAGAAGGATTCTACTAGGCGGCTGTCTATATGGCCCCCTCCATTTATGGAAACTCGCATGTCTCATTTAAGTGATCCCTTTTTTTCCACCTCGAAGACTGGACAACAAGAATAAACCCTAAACCCCCTCAACCCCCTAAACCCCAAACCCTAAACCCTCAACCCCCTAAACCCTAAACACCCTAAACCTTCTTGGCTCTTTTTGGCTGCAGGGCAAAAATTGCAACTAAGTAGTAACCCTGCACTTTCCAAACTCCAGGCTCTTGCAGTTGAGGATCCCCCCTGTCCCATGTGAGCTAGGGTTTCGGGTTTAGGGTTTAGTGTTTAGGGGTCCAAGAAGCGGGGACTGAAAAATCATAATTACCAAAGGAGGAGGCTTAGGATGATCCCTGAACCCTCAGCCCCCTTCCCAAAACCTTAAACCCACAATCCTACCATGGCCTTCTTTGCTTGGCCCATGATCAGGGCATGGAGCAGCTTCACAAGGGAGAACCTATACAGCTATCAGGGTTTAGGGTGTGGCGTTTAGAGTGTAGGATTTATGGTGTCGGGACTAGAAAGCTGCGTGTATGCTGTCCCAGGAATGCAAGGAAAACAGGACTTGTTGGGTGCATGTTGGGGTCACCCTGTTCAAGGAAACTACCACGTTAATACATGACACTACAAAAAAGTGTGCAGCTCTCCGGTTTAGGGTTTGCGGCCCAGTGTTTGGAAGAGCCTTGGAGTCTTGAATTTAAAGCCGGCCTTAAAAGCTCACAGACACTGTACATGCATTAGTATTCCTGAGGAAGTCGTCATACACTCACCAAGACCATGGCAAAAGAGCGACCTCAGCATAGGAAAATTCATGGTTCTAGGCTTGGGCCTTAGGGAGGTCTGAACCAAGTTTAAGGGTTTAGGGTTTAGGGTTAAGGGCTTAGACGCCCTAGTTCAGTCTCCATAAGTGGGTTACTAACTACCCTTGTCCTCCAAGTGCTGCTGGTCAGCGGGGAATGAGGGAATGAAGTGTAGATGGCAAATGCCATGCTATTGGGGGTTATATAGCCCGGTAATATTGTATTGATGTTCCACTTTCTTTGTCTTTGATTCTCCGTTATTGCTATAACATATTCTAGCATTGGTAGCATTGGTACGGCCAAAGAGATAAGTACATCCTACTGAGACCCCCTTAGCGTCGAACCCCAAACCCTAAAACCTAAACCCAAACCAAGCATCCTAAACTCGATACTACATCCAAATGAGAGCCGAGGTTCAAAGTGAAGGTTATGATGATCAAGGAGAAGATCAGGCCCACAATGCCTCCAGCCGCATCGCCCATGCCGGAGAAGAGGCCTCTTACTTTGCTTTTCACGTGGGGGTTGCG